TACCGGAGCAGCTAATTTCAAAAGGATGTGTTTGTTCAACAATTTTTGTGTTCTGATTGTTATCGTGCGTGTAATTTGTAGGTGAGTTTTTTTTGATTTTGTGCTGCGCTATCACCTTGTATGACTTGGCCATGATTTATTTCTTCAGAAAATTTACAGCAAAAGGAAAATACTTTTTGAAGCAACAGAAATAATGAAAAATATTTCATGGTAAATTCAACAGTTAAAATTTTCACAATTTCCCGGATTTTTCAATACAAGTTTATTTTTCGAATATCTCAAAAACTATTATAGTTAAAAAGATGTTTCTTGTCTTGTTTTAAAGGCGATTTATGAAAAGGGATATTTAGGGCTATAAAGAAAGATTACTGTTAAAAAATTCCAAAAATAAAATCAAGTACAGAATTTCGAAATTTGAAATTTAAAAAACTTTGAAGAAAATACTCGCACAGAAATTTTTGGTTAAATTTTTTATACAATACCACAAAGAGATCCTTACAAATACTGACATTTTCAAGAAAAAATATATATATTATTGAAATATGCATTTATTAATTTTTAAAACAAAATTTTTTGTACAAACTCTAAACCATGACATGAATATTTTAACTTAAATAAGAACTACTTAACATGACTTTATTTGAAGTTTGCAAACAAATTTTTTTAAGTTTAAAAATGGATATCTTAAAAAAAAACTCAAAATTTCAGCATCTTTTAAACTCATTTGGAGGTATTTTATAAAAAAAAAATCAGCCAAAAACTTGTATTGGCTTGTGCTTTTACAAATTTTTAATTTCCAAATTCTGTAATTTTTTTCGAATTTTTTTTATTTTTTCTAAATATTACCTTGTCATATCTTGCATAAATCACCTTTAAAACGAGACGAGAACTATTTCGGTAGCTATAATATTTTTTGAGATATTCAAAAAAGAAACTTTTAAAATCTCGGAAATTGTGAAATTGTGACATCTATAATTTTGCATAACCTTCGAAAAAAACAATTTTTTTTTTCTTTGGCAGAACTTTGTTACATTTATAAAGAAAAAACTCCAAAACTCATGCAAATCAAAAATGCCTATCACTTTTTTGCATGTGACAACTGCCACTGCTGCTCTTTTCTACGCTTCGCTGTATTATTCGAAAATAAAGTTGATTCACAGGAAAACATTTGAGAATAACTTAAACCACTGTGCAGACTTTTGTTCCCCTGTGGAGTGTGTTTCCTGTCTCTACTTTGTTTTTGGCTGTATGCAAAATCTTCATACGTACAGTGTGCACGCGTTGGCGCGTTGAAAGTGGGGCGTGTTCCACATATGTCCCTATGGGGCTTTGAAGGTTATACAACAAACGAGTATGAATGCGATATAACAAAAAAAAACGAACTAGCTTTTTTCTTAAAGTTTTAGTAGCATTGAAGAAAGCTCGAGAAACAGCCGAATAAAAAAAGGTTGTAGAAACGGCAAGCAGCAGAGGACACACAGCGTTAATATGCAAAGTGGCAGGTAGGCTGGCAGCCAGCCACACTTTTCAACGCTTTCGGCGAAAATGAGTTATGACGCATGCGCAACGGTGAGCATATTTTTTTTTTCAAAACATACTATGCAGAATGTGCATCTCAACTTCGTTTGCATATTTTGGGCCACCGTTTAATTAAAGGACACGAATACGCAAATGTACACATGTATGTGTGTATGTAGATTCCAACCGATCAGCACACTTACAAATTCTCGACATACGCCACTCAGCCGGCAGCACTCGAACATTTTAATAAGGGCACACACAGGGTTCAATGTTGCACGGCCCCTACTTTGGCCCGTGCTCAATGACGCACTTAACATGTTGAGCAGAAAACTTAGATGCTGCTTGAAGATGCCAAGCACCTAAAAGGCATATCAAGTGGACAACAACCCATCCGAGTGACCGGCCGCCAGCCCCATTGACGGCTCTGTAGTGTCAGTATGAGTGCCAGTGCAATGGCCAGTTTCTCCGTTTCCTGGTAATCGTCGATGCTGTCTTTGTAGCGGTTGCGCATTTGAAATCAATAACATCACTAAATGACTCTATTGTTGTGGCTGCGTGGCCCACAGGCAGACGACAACAAAAATAAGAATTGTTGCACTTCTCAGAAAAAACGCCATAAAAATTGACACCCAGCGCGAACGGCAATTAAACAACATAATGATACGAGCAGAATGCGCCAAACGCACAGCAATCCAGCGTCCAGCAGCAAAGACAAGTAGAAGACAACAGTTCGACAACTACATATTTCTACAAATGCAACAATAAAGTGCA